ATGAAAATCTTTGAAAATAGTTTGAACTTCACTCTTTGATTTCATAAGGTACACAAAACTCATTCGAGAGAAGTCATCGATAAATAGAACAAAGTACTTGAACCCTTTTATTGATTCAGTTGTTGGTCCCCATACATCGGTGTGCACCATTTCAAAGAGTTTACTTGTCCTAGACATTGAATTACCAAAAGGTAGTCTAGTAAACTTAGAAAGTTGACAAGTATCACAAGTAACATGATTTTTACAAAAATTTGGAAATAATTTTAGACAAGATAACTTCAGAGGGAGATGAGCTAATCTCTTATGCCAAAGTTGGTTTTTCATCTACGGACTTTGATTGAGCTTGAAGGGCCTGAGTAAAAACAGGTATTCTTGCACAGGTAGTAAAGTCCATTTATAAAGACCCCTTCACCAATCATCTTCATGGTGAGAACATCCTGAAACATCACATTATCTGGTGAGAAAATGGCACGGCAATTTAGGGTGTTTGTGATCTTTCCAATTGACAGAAGTTGGAAAGGAAAGGTTGGTACATATAAGGCAGTGGAAGGTGTTTTGTGTGAGAGTAAGTTTATTTCTCCTTTTCCCAAAACTAAGACATTTTTTCCATTTGCAATAGACACATGTGAGGGACTTAAAAAACGTTTAAAAATGATTCAAATTTGTGACTTTGTTTGTCATATGATCTGTGGCTCCTGAATCAATTACCCAACAATCATTTTCAGTACTAGTTAATAGGGGCAGTAGTGAAAGCTTTGAGTATACCTGGTGCTTCATCCTTTTTGGGACTTTCTCATTTCCAGCAAGAAAGCCAGCAAACTGTCCCAACATGGCTGTATGACTGCTCTTTTCATTGCCTCGAGCTTGTGAACCTCCTTCGTGTTCCTTACTTTGAAGGTAAGCTGCAAACTCATTGATAAGTGACAATGGGTTGGTAGTGAACTCCATGGATCCTTGTGAGATAGTAGAGGGATGAGCATTGGCAAGTTGAGCCTTGTAGTGAGGTTGAAATTGCTGTGAGGACCTTGGTATCATTTTTCCATCTTTGCTGAAGTTAGGCTTGAGTTCAGGATGAAGTTCCCAACACTTGTCTTCCACATGACCAACGCCATTGCAATATTTGCATTTTAGGTGTGTATTTTTACCCTTGTACACTTTTGCCTCTGAGGTCTTGTAGTTTGAGGCATATGCACGAGTCTCAGTCAATCTCGAGTTGTGCTCAGCATTCATCACTTTCTTTCTTGCTTCTTCTCGTTGGATAGTTGCACATACATTGTTGAACGTGGGAAGCTCCTGACTCATCAAGATGTGACTCCTTAGATCCTCGTACTCGGAGTTCAAACTCCCCAACAGTTGGTAGATTTTGTCTTCCTCGGCTCGTTTAAGGAGAATGATAGGATCTGTGGTATGTGGAAGGTATACATCCAACTCATTCCACATGGCTTTGAGGCTTCCAAGATGTTGAACAAATGCTTTCCCTTCTTGTTGGGCACTGGCTATGTCCTTCTTAAGTTGAAAGACACGTGCATAGTTGTTTTGATTTCCATACATATCTTGCAATGCTTTCCAAAGCTCACATGAAGAATTGTAGTAGCTAAAAATCTCAGCAACATGTTTCTCCATGGTGTTGAGCAGCAAAGACATGACAAGTTGATCCTTGCAAAGCCATGCACCGTATGAAGGGGAGGAGATGTCTGAAGCTTCCACACTTCCATTTACAAATCCTAATTTCCCTTTGCCTCCGAGAGCTAGTGACACAGCTCGAGACCAAGGGAGATAATTAAACTCATTCAAGAGAACTGAACACAAACGTTGATTGGTGTTAACCTCGACGTCTGAGAAATTTGAAGGAGAGGCATGCGAGATGTCACCCTCAATGTTTATTGAATCTTCTTCAGCCATGGCTTACGATTGAAAGAAAGATGCAGCGGGAAGAATGGCCAGAGACAGGTTACAAAACCTGCTCTGATACCATGTAGAATTTCTGGTTTAAAGTTTTCATATGTATTTCATGTGTATTGGTACAAGAGGGAGACCGGATATATATGAGAAGAGGGAGGGAAAGCTGCTATATGCAGCCGACAAGAAATCAGGAAATGGGGAGAAAGTAGTAGGAAGAAAGTGGAAAATAAAGCTGCTGCAAGCAGCCAACAAGAAAATAAAAAAATAAGGAATAAAGCTGCCAACCTATCTAAACTTAACTTATGCAAGTCTACTCCCTTAAATCAAGGGAAAGGTATTACAATGACACTCAACAACAGCCATCCTTTCGGACAATGCCAGTAAATTCTAAAGCTCTGATTGGAACTCGGCCGTTCGATTGCTGACATAGGCTTATGAAGTTGTGAACCGTTTGATGACTTAGGAGATGAACGGTTCTGATTTCAACTTGGAAGAAAGTAGCTAACTAGTATTTCCATTTCTATATACGATTGGGACTAATTTTCATGGTTTGTTGCATCCACTACGATCTTCTCATATTGGTAGGTGCAGCAAATTTTGATTGGAAAATTGAAGTTCTTTAATCTTTGAGTACGTACGTAGAATACCAACCTTAGACGGCCATATATCCATGTGTAACTACCAGACTTTAATACATATATTTTCATCATATATAATAGGCATAAAATAATAGGGTATATGGCTAGAGATTTTATATTTAAACGCTTACATATTTATAAATATAAAGGCTTGAAATCGAAGAATTTTTTTGAGAAATTGTCATATATTTTAGTAGGTAATCCAAGACCAGTATTATATAGAGCATAAGCAACATTAATACAGGTGATCCATGAAAATCCATGTTGATTTCTATATAGATGCACAGGTGATCCATGACAATCCATGTTGATTTCTATATAGATTTAGCCATCAATGCAAATCTACCACCTTTTACTTCAAGGCTTTGTGTACTCACGTTTATATTGCCTGTATATTTGCAAGCAATCTCATCGCACATCTTCTTCCTCTCTCTCTCTTTCTCTCTCTCTCTCATGGCACCTATGAGTTATTCCACCTTTGGTGCAGCGACTATTCTTTTCGCTTTTCTTGTATTCCAATCATCATCAGCAAATATCAATGGAGGGTTCAGCGTCAAGCTTATACACCGAGACTCACCAAGTTCACCCTTCTACAAAACTCATCCAAAGAGCTTAAACAAAGTCTTTCGACGTTCCATGAGACAGACATTCTATCCAAACAGCGCACAATCACAAATAACTGCTGACAATGGGCACTACCTTTTTAAGCTCTCCATCGGAAACCCACCATTGGATGTTTATGGCATTGCTGATACAGGCAGTGACCTAATATGGACACAATGCGCACCATGTCCCGGCTGCTACAAGCAGATTAATCCGTTATTCGACCCGACAAAGTCCTCAACATACAAAGACCTATCTTGTTATGCACAAGAATGTCAAACAATTGGCACTATTACATGTTCACTTCGACACGCTTGCAATTACACTTATGCGTACGGAAGTGCTGCTGTTACCCAAGGGGTCCTCTCGAAAGAGACGATTACCATAACATCCACCTCAGGGAATGCTACTTCTCTGGAAAATATTGTGTTTGGTTGCGGACATAACAATACTGGGACTTTTAACGAAAACGAAATGGGAATCATCGGCCTTGGAGGAGGGGACCTATCCCTTGTTTCCCAATTGAGTCCCCTTGTTGGAGGCAAAAAATTCTCATTCTGTTTGGTGCCATTTCACACTGATCCTAGTATTGAAAGTAAGATCAGTTTTGGGGAGGGTAGTGAAGTATCTGGGGACGGTGTGGTTTCGACGCCCTTGGTCACCAAAGAAGACAAGACTCCATATTTTGTAACCCTAAAAGGGATTAGTGTTGGAAATAAGTTTGTGCCTTTTAATTCATCGGGCGAAGTTTCAAAAGGCAACATGTTCATGGACACCGGCACGCCTCCAACCCTAATTCCGCAAGATTTTTACGACCGTTTAGTGGCGGAAGTAAGGAGTCAGATTCCGATGACGCCAATTGGAGATGATCCAAGTTTGGGAACTCAGCTTTGCTACAAGAGCAAGACTAATCTGCAAGGGCCAATATTGACTGTGCACTTTGAGGGTGCTGATGTGAAGTTAACACCAATACAAACATTCGTTCCACCAAAAGATGAGGTTTTCTGCTTTGCAATGCAAACTGTTCCTTGGGATGTCGGTATTTATGGTGGCTTTGCTCAGTCAAATTTCTTGATTGGTTATGACCTGGAAACAATGGTGGCATTTTTCAAGCCAACTGACTGTACGAAACATCAATAGATAAGTTAAATTACATAATAATAGGTGGTTCTTTGATCATGATCGTAATCTAGTATTTCATGTTTCGTTTAGTTCTCGTTTTAAGTTGGGTGTAGTCAACGAGAAATTCTTGGGTTCGGCCACTTGTGCCACATCACCCGTTCGGCCATTCTCACAAAAGAGAAAAATCTTTGTATTTGATCTCACCCAACTCCACATTTCTCCCACTTGTTCATCAATAGATAAGTTAAATTACATAATAATAGGTGGTTCTTTGATCATGATCGTAATCTAGTATTTCATGTTTCGTTTAGTTCTCGTTTTAAGTTGGGTGTAGTCAAGGAGAAATTCTTGGGTTCGGCCACTTGTGCCACATCACCCGTTCGGCCATTCTCACAAAAGAGAAAAATCTTTGTATTTGATCTCACCCAACTCCACATTTCTCCCACTTGTTTCGAGTCTTCTGCTCTATACGGGCATCTGCTCACAAGAATATCTCTTATTAACTGCCCTGCAAAAAGAACGGAGATACGAGCCAACATGTACAACAACAATCAAACCTTATCCTACTAAGGTCAGTTGTATGAATCTTAGAACGCCATTGTGCTAGATTTTGCACCAATCTTCCGTTAGCTCCAAGTACTCCAACATGTGTTAACAATATTTAACACTGCAAGACTTTCGACCCAAAGAAAAACACTGCAAGACTTGTGTGTTGCTCCCATTGACACGGCAAAATCTCAAGTGTAACCAGTGATATAAACATCACAATCTCACAATCAACATTGAAAATTATTGGCGCTAATAACATTCATATTATGACAGCAGATAATAAGCCTTGAGGCACATAATCTTGTACGAAATACAGCATCAACTAGCAAAGACTACATAACTAATTACCGATCTAACTAGCAAATACTACATAAATAATCACAAAGCGAAAATTCCTTTTTGAACAAACGAGGGACGGACTCAGATTGCACACTAATATCCAAGTAGTGATACTGATCTATATGGGAGCCGCACAAGTCGTCCTAAAGTGGCCGGTTTGATTGCACCGACTACAATGCACAACTCGCTTCACACGGCCACGGTCTTCTGCTCGAACACGCTTCTTTCGCGGTCGTCCTGGTGGGCGGAGTGACTTAGGTGGGTTGATTAGAACATCAGCAACCATGCTCGCATTTGGATCTCCCTCGGATAACTCCTTCCAGAGGGACTTGTCTGGAATGGGATGTATTGTCTGTGAGTATGTCTTCCGATAGGTTGTGACTGTGAAGCAGCTCTCGGTAAACCGATTGACTTGCTGCCTGCACGATTTAAGTGCTGCAACAGCATGTGCACATGGCAAACCATAAAGCTGCCAGCCCCGACAAAGGCAGCAACGGTTTCGAATGTCCACTATGTTCGTCCCTTCATGGGATATAACTTCAAATTCAGCCTCATTAGCACGAAGGACCTGATAAGTACGCGCACGCTCTTCAGCCTCCGCGACACGCCTCTCTGCACTGGGCACAAGAATCGATGTCCACTGCATACTGACCTCTCGACGCTCATTGAACCAAGTCATCAGCTGCCTTCTGATAAATTCCATCATCTGAATGATTGGAAGCCCCGACGCCTCCAATATCCAAGTATTTAGAGATTCAACTATGTTAGCTGTCAAATGCCCAAACCTTGTTCCCTCAAAATAAGCAGTAGCCCACAAGCGAGGTGGAATTCGCCTAATCCAATATGCAGCATCTTGTGATATCTCTTCAATCTCCAAAATTTTTGCTTCAAATTCTATAACAGTGAGTACCTGAGCAGCCTCCCATAAAAGATTAACAAGCATTGTATTGTTAAACTCTTTGCGGAAGCTATCAATCAAGTGGCGCATGCAAAATCCATGAAAAGCAGTAGGAAAGTTTGCTTCAACTCCATCTACAATGCCCTTCTGCCTGTCTGATAAAATTGTAAGCCTAGGCATGTTTTCTGTATTAATCTCAAGCAGATTATGAAGTTCAGAAAGAAACCACATCCAGTTATCATCATTCTCTTCATCAACAACCCCAAACGCCAAAGGAAAGAGAGCACCATCACCATCAAAACCGGTCGCAAGAAGCAAAGTTCCCAGATACTTACTTTTCAAATATGTCCTATCAAGTCCAAGTAGGGGCCGACAAGCATTCAGGAAACCATAAATTGATGCCTGAAATGATATGAAGAGGCGCTGGAAGCTGTTATCATTCGGGCATGCATAAACAGATGCAATACTCCCTGGGTTTGTCCGCTTCAGCTGTTCACAATATTGTGGAAGCAAGCGATACCCTTCTTCAAAGGATCCACGCATTGCAGCCATGATACGCTCCTTGCCTCGCCAAGCTTGCTTGTATGATAAGGTGATACCGTGAACTCGGTGAATCTCCTCCAGTATCTCCTTTGGCTTGTAATTAGGGTTCTCTCTAAGCCGTTGCTCCACAGAATTTGCAACCCATTGAACTGAGGCTTGCTGATGGCCAAGATGGGAAATTCCTCCACATGTATGATTCTCATGGATGGTCCTGATTGTGAAAGTTGGAACTCCGGGAAGCTTTGCAGCATGAATACGCCATGGGCATCCCTCAGTGGCACATTTAGCAGTGAAGCGAGTCTTGTCAGATTTAATAGTCTGCATTTCAAAGTGTAAGGCAATAGCTGTATCCCTCAATGCTCTCCGGCAGCTCTTGACATCAGGGAACTCTTGCCCCACTGACAATTCATAATTGGGATTTACAAGCGCCATACGGGCCTGAATCACAGGACTGGGGCTTAGTGCAACTGCAAAATCAGATTCCTGGATACTCAAACCATGGGGAGATTCTATCCCCATTTCATTATTTTGATCCATAGACAGTTCCATATTTTCATCAAGTTCTTGGTTCTCTGAGACAGCCAATTCATTGTTCTCTAAGACCATATTATGGTTCTGAGTAGAAAGAGGCAATTCATGGTCATCATGATTAGGTTTCCGATCCACACCTAACTCATTATCATGCCCATAGCTGTGATCATCGTCCCCTTCTGGGTCATGGCTCTGTCCTAAACCCAATTCATGGTCGTGGGCCTGTCCCAATTCAAAATCATGATTTTGCCCAAGGCCTACATTATGATTGTGGCCTAGTACTTGCTGATTCTGCCCAAGTGCTAAATTGTGACTTTGCCCAAGCATCAAATCGTGGTTAGCCATTGAAGAAGTCAATCGCACTGTATTAAGTATAACAAAGACGGCAACAGCTTCGCAGCCTCCCAAGGATACAACCAATTTATAATTGGAAGCACTGCCTTTCAAACTGTACTAAAGCATGCCTACAAAGCACTACAACTATGGTCAGTAATGAATCACATACCTCTATCACATCAAGCATCTACTCTAAATCCTTACACATCTCCATCACAAGAAGATAATACAATAAATTTGGAAAATATAAATACACACTTAGCAAGACAAACACTCAGCAATTTCTATACATGCTTTCACTTCTAAAATCTGCATGCCTCCAAAGCAGTAACAAGCTAAAACCATGACCAGAAACAAGGCAATTGAAAAGACAAAGATGCCAAGAGAAACGAGAGGGGGAAGAGAAAGAGTGCAAGAGAGGAAAGCAAGTAGAAGAAACTTATATATTTGTGCGCCAATTTTCGTATAATACCACAAAATACACACACACACACAACCCAAGCTATATTCTAAAAATTGCAAAATAGTACATCCACAACTTTGAAACAAAAAAGTGCCACGACATTTTACTTTGAAACATTTAAAACATCAACTGTGGCTATTGGAGATCTAAACCAATCAAATAAAACAAGTATCTCATCTGCTTGTGCTGAGAAAAAGTATGAAAACAAAGGAAATCGAAAAGTCTAACCAATCCCTGCACATTCATATCTCTTACAGCATAAGCATCACTCAGGTGGTTCACATACCATGGCCATTAACTAAACCGAGCTTGCATTCTTTAAAACCAAAACATAATTTCAGCACAAAAATCCCTACTTTTTATTCACCTCTTCTTCGAAAAAATTTCCGATCCACTGAAAATAAGTAAAAACCACAGAATGAACACATTTATTTTGTTCAATCATCATGGACATCAAAGCCAAAGCAATAACCTTTCAACCAAAAAACAATCGTTAGCCCCAAATTAACAGCAAAACAAGCTAAATTAACACAACCCATTAAAGAGCCACTCAAGAAATACACGATCATATTCATTAAACTTTCAAAAATCAATTAACTTTCAAAATTGAAATAACTCCAAACAACACAGACCCAATTAACTAAAAGCTCTCAACAGTGAAAGATCAAACAAAAGGGTACCTGAAATTTTCGAAAACCCTAGCTCCAGACCCGATTAAATCCTACAAATTCATCATCAAAATCGTCCCAATCAACAAAACCACGAACTGGGTGCTGCTGAAAACACCAAGAATCAAAGTCCCGAAGCGACGGAAGACGGATAGAGCTCGAAAGTCGAGGTCTTGGAATTGCAGGAAGAAGAGGGACGGAGAGTGCAGAAAAAAAGGGGCAAAAAACAGCGACAGTTTGAAAAGATGGAGTGGAAGGAAATTGGCGGGTAAATTGCGAAGAAAATCGTGAAGGGCAAGAAGGAGAGGAAGAGAGATTGGGAATTACAGGGGCAGAAGAGGCAGTATATGTTTAGGGTTGAGAAGGGAAATACAGGTACGATGGAATTGAGAAAAAAAGAGGGTATTTAGGTCAAAGAAATTGGGAATGGTTTTTTGGAATTACTGTTTTGCCCTAATTGGTTTATATAGGATTTGCCTTTCATGGAAAGGCAAGCACTCACAGGTCAAATAAAGTAATTGTAACCGTATGAACCCGTATTCAATATACACACTTGAAAACGTTATCAACATGATATATCGAATCACATGTATGGTCTAATAATTTGTACATGCGGTTTATTAAGTGGTGTGATAGCACTTAAGGAGCTTATTGTAATATTTGATTTGTATAAATACGACAATTGATATGTCATTTGTTGTTTTTCGTGTTTAATATGTGATGACTAAAGAAATAACACTGGCAGAATATCTTACTAATATGAAATTAAAATGATGAATTGCTTTGATGTTTAGAGTCTTTTAATTCAAATTATTCATCGTTTATTTAGTGAAGGATTAAAATAATTCACAATAGGTAAACTCATAAATAACTTCTATCAATTTTTATTGTCAAAAACAAAAAGTTACGTTAATCTTCATGACCATTTCAGCTAAAAAACCAAATAAAAATTTACTTGTTTCATTGATAAATTTGAGAAAAACAAAATTTCCTCGGGAATCTTTGCTGTTCATCTTTTTTTTTTGGTGGGAAAATCCTTGCCGTTTATTCAAGTCCAACTGAACAGCCTATTTAATCTTTTTTTTATTTTTTGAGTTTTAATGAAACATTTTTGGTACTGTTCATTTTAACGAACAATCATATTTTTACTTTAAAAAGTCAATCTTGATACTATTCACCTACAACACATTTTTGTTATTTTTGTTAAAACTTAAAGTTTTTAAACACTTTTTATTAGTTTTAATTTTTTTCTTTTTTTCTTTTTATAGAGGGACCTTTGCGTACGGTGTCGTTTTGTCCTGGATCGGCAGCCGACATTTTGGCTTCTGTCCGTCGGCTTTTGTTTCAACTCCCAACTTTTGAATTCTTGCGATGTGGCACGACAACGTGCGTCGTCTGATGTCGTAAAGCTTCAACCTTTGGGTTGATACTTTCGTTGTTGTCCCCTCTCTCTCTCTCTCTCACCAAACCCATTATTCCTTTTTTGGTGTTTGTCATTGGTTCTGAAAAATTCAATCATTCCATTTCCTTCTTTTGTTCCACCACATGAACAGGTCAGTTTCTAATTTCGTAGTTACCCGACCCAATTACAATAATGATCAGTTTTTTAGTACGTTGTCGTTATTTGATCGCTATGTCGTAAATATTTGATCTTTATATTATAATGTGGTCGATATTTGATTTTGGTTACGGGATTTGATTTCTGATCATTTTAATCAAAATTTCCCAAGTTATATATGGTGATCTGAAATTTTCGTTGCTAATTGAATTGGGTTTTGGTTGAATTTGAATCAGGCCATTAAAGGTTAAACCTTCTGATGGGTATTGGTATTTCAAGTGATTAAATTTAATTTCGAAATTAAGATTTTGTTTTATTGCTTAGAATTAATCTTTGTGGTTGGTGAAATTGTATTTGGAATTTCGATATGGGTTGTCTCAGGGCTTTCGTTTGATCTTCTGAGATGAATTGGTCAGTGCTTGCTGCTATGAACTTGTACTTTTCAGGCGTTGACCCTCAAAAGTTTCTGCTTTTAATGGAAATGTAAGCTTTTGATCATGTGGGTTTTGATCCTGTTGAGAAATAAGATTTGGGGCATTAGCAATTGGTTCGATCTTCATGTTGTCGATTCTTTTGATTTCGGTTTTTCTACGAGAAATGTGGTGTGTGTTCTTAAGAATGTTCTGTTATGCATGTCACTTGCTTCCTTTTTTTTTTTTTAGGAAAACTAATGAAAATGGTTTGAAAACTTTGAGTTTTAACGGTAAGGACAAAATAAAGGATAGAGTGAATAGTACCAGGATTGACTTTTTAATGTAAAAATGTGGTTTTTCGTTAAAGTAAACAGGACCAGGAGCTTTTCGATAAAGTTCCCTTTTATTTTTTCGGGTCAAGATGTTTCCTTTTCAGAATTCTTTTCGTTCAATGTAAATTTCGGGTTCATTTTGTTATGTTTAGATTGCTCCTTGCTGCCCTCTCAGCTAACAGAAGTTGGAATGCAGGCCTAAATTCCGGTGCTAAACTAGCTGTTTTGGTGATTGGTCTGAATATCCCGAATCTCCCTTGTCCGTTGAGGGAAATGTTGATGGATTTCACCTTGGATTACTGATTCATTTGAAGGACTAGTGTTTCCTACACTGAGCACATGGCTGCCTCGGGGACTTCATCTGCATTGACGCAGAAAGCCCCCCAGGATTGGTCTAAAGCTTTGGTACACGCTCTTTTTGAATGGCTGCTGATTTCTATGCTGTTTGTTTACGCCATATTCTCATATGTTATTACGAAGTTTGCTTATTACTGTGGATTGCAAGCGCCTTGTCTGCTGTGTTCAAGAATTGATGATGTTTTGGGAAAGGAAAAACTTGGTTATTATTGGGACCTTTTCTGTGGAAATCATAAGTCAGAGATTTCTTCGTTGGTTCTTTGCCGTACTCACAATAAGCTTGTAGATGTTCATGGAATGTGTGAAAGTTGCCTCTTCTCATTTGCAACATTTAATAGATCCAATGCCGAGACTTGCGGATTACTGGTGGGTAAGTTGGGGGATGATCCTAAATTTGATTTCGATGAGGACCCTTTACTCGTGGGTCATAATACTTGCTCTTCAAGCAGAACGTTGTGTTCTTGTTGCAATCAGCCATGGATTTCTCGGGGGCATTCTCAAACGTTGATTCAGACAAAAATATTTGGCGCTGATGCTGAACTCGATATGCCCCTATCTCGTTCTATTGAACATAATCAGAAAGAACCGAGGAAGGCACGAGATGAATCATATATGTCAGCAAGAACCACTCATATGAGAGAGAATGGGATTCACCCTATATCTCATATCCGATACACAGAACTCAAGGTTAACTCTGATACTGAATCGGAAGTTCATTGTTCTGACAATGAAGGTGCAAGTGCTTTGATTCATGAAAGAGACAATCCCAAGGAAGATAAATCAGCTCCGAGAGATCCAGCATCTGTTCCCAAGCCTTCAATTTTGGTCTCACAGACACAAGTTGATTCTAAGTCCCATGGTAGTACATCTGTAGCATCTACTGTTGCTATCAGCCATGGACTGGAGGAACTTAACTGGCAACAAGTTGGAAGCAAGGCTGATCTCCCTCCGTCAACTGCACCCATCGTTGACAATCACCCTCCATCATCAAATGCAATGAAACCCCCAATTGAAGTATCAAAACAAAGAAGTGAGTTCGGAACTTTTTTTCAGTTTCCTCTTTTCTACATTGTCTTGATTTCGCTATTTTTTTCTCTTTGAATTCAACATATTATTGATTTTTATAAGAAATGCTTCTGCATTAAGCACCCATTGTTTACTGCAGTAAATTAACTTTACAATGATCATTCTTGTCTGTGGTGGTTTCTCTCAGTTGATATTACTGGAAATCGTGAAATTGATCAAACATCTGTGGCGGAATCTGGGGAATTGTACAAGGGAGAAGTCAAGCCACTTACAACATCTGAAACAGGTTTGGAAACAAACCTTGTTTCAAGCAACGGTAATGAGCAAGTAACCAATGTTCTAGACCTTGGTGATGCTTATAAACTTGTTGTTGTTAGTAAAGGAAGGCATTTGTCTGGTGTGGTTGCAGAACAATGGATTGGGAAGGACTCTTCTAAAGTTACTGAAGATTTGAAGGTCTTGCTGTCACAGTTGTCTACCACTAGAGGGCTTGAGCAATCAACAAGCGCAACGAGTCCGAGATTGTCTGCAAATAGTGGAAGTGCAATGAGTCCGAGATTGTCTGCAAATAGTGGAAGCGCAATGAGTCCGAGATTGTCTGCAAATAGTGGAAGCGTAATGAGTCCAAGATTGTCTGCAAATAGTGGTGATTTGAAAGCTTCGGATACTTCTAGTTATTTTGGAATGCAGATACATAACAAGAGGATCTCACTTGAAAGAAATGAGTCTGGGCTGTCCGTGGATGGGAGCATTGTCAGTGAAATTGAGGGTGAGAGTATGGTTGATCGATTAAAGCGTCAGGTTGAGCATGATAAGAAAATTATGAGCGCTTTGTATAAGGAGTTGGAGGAAGAAAGAAATGCTTCTTCAATAGCTTCAGATCAAGCAATGGCCATGATTACAAGACTGCAAGAGGAGAAGGCAGCACTCCGTATGGAAGCACTCCAGCAACTAAGAATGATGGAAGAGCAAGCCGAGTATGATAATGAAGCTCTGCAAAAGACAGACGACCTTCTTGTCGAGAAGGAGAAGGAAGTACAAGATCTGGAAGCGGAGCTGGAATTTTATAGGAATAAGTATCCCAATGAATCGATGCTAGATAATCTGGCAGAGACAACCGGTGATGTTCATGCAAGGGATATTGGGGTTGTTCATTCCGAATCAAGCAGCATGGAACATAGTTCAAGTGTACATAAACATGTGGATAATGGAAAGCCTCATACACACAGCAAAGTTGAAGGAGCCGCTACAACTTTTGGTGACAAGGATCGTAGTAGTGTAAAAGCTACACTTTTGGATTTCGAAGATGAGAAGATACAAATCTTACAGTATTTAGAGAAGTTAGAGAAGTCACTTTCTTTGCTCTCTGCCAATGGGGTAAATTCAGATTCGTCCAAAGGTGATTGTTCAAAAAAGGGAGGTTCCCAAGAAAACCCTCTGTCCGTGCAACATGAAGAGTCTGTATCATTGTCGGGACATACTGAATCACTTAAAAGCCCTCAGTCAAATGACAAGGGACAGTGTGATATTCGTTGCAGTGGGCCAAACTCTGCAGATCTCTGTCAAGTAACAGATTTAGCTTCTCTCCGGATCCTGAGTTCCAATGTGATCAAGAGGTTGAAGGCACTCGAGGCCGACCGAGAGTTTCTTGAACATGCGATTAACTCACTTAAACACGGTGAGGAGGGACTGACGTTCATTCAAGATATAGCTTCTTACCTGGGAGAACTACGACAAATCGGGATAAGAGATCAAACATCAGCTTGAGTATGTAACGCCGTACATCGTAGTCTTGCCAGCATATCTTATATCTCTTCCAAGTACGTGGCTAGGATAGTAGAAGCTTTTTCCCTTTCACTAATATGTAAATTGTTCTATGTCAGGTGGCATGCTTACATGACATGATCTTCGAGAAGTCAGAAGGCGGGTACCTGTTTATCGAGTCTTTGGATTGAATAAATCGAAGAAGAATCAAGAGACAAAAGGAACGGAAGGACCAGAAAATGAGAGAACGGGAGTTTGAAAATCACTACCCTTCGAAGATTTGGCGTATCATTTGTACAGTAATACTTGCTTCTTCTTTTTTTAACCTCAACAGTCAACAAAAAGAAAATAATAGGATTCGAGTCCCCTCCCTTATACTATACAGTTGGTCGTTTTTTCTCCCTTCGCCCGCCTTTTTTGGGGTCTGAGACCGTCTGACATATTTCACATTTTACTTTGGAAATATGTAGATTTGGTGAGCTTTTTATTTTTATTTTATTTCTTTTACTAACTGAGTTTGAGTGGGAGTTTATTTGTTTAGTTTAATATTCTTCTTTTTTTTCACCATTTTTTGTTTTTAATTTTTAATGGAGTGGATGAGTGATTGAAATGTAAAACGGGTGAATATTGTGTGTAAACTGTCAAGTATCAATAAGAAGATTGATGTCATTCCATTTTGTGCAACCTCATAGCTTGTTCTTTTTCGATATTTAAAAGTTTAGGATGAGGGGAACCTACCTGTCCAGGGCAAGAGCATGCCTGATACCACAAGTCTCTTTAAGGACTTACAAACGGGGTCTTTGCTTTTTTTTTTTTTTTTTTTTTTTTTTAAACAAATAACCCATCAAGATGGAACTAGAACGTAGACATTAGTCTAGCGAAGAGAATGATTTTTACCAACTCAACTAGCCCTCTTTTATATAAGTCAATTTAAACCAATAAAATTCACATTGAGAAACAATTAAATCCCAATTGAACACTCAATTTTTTTTTTTGGACAAAACTAAATTTTTTATTAAATTCCAGAAAAAAGATTAACAAACGAGTTTGTTCAAGAAAAAAAAGAAGAGAAATTAGGTTCTCATCCCTCTTTTTTTAATTCTATTTATTGAAACCTTATTTCTTTTCAAATTTTAATCAAGGTCCCTTGGTTTTAATAAACATCATTAATTATTTCAATAATAAAATATTTACATATCAAGATAATTAAATTTTATTTCTAAATTATTCATTTGGTGTTATAAACGTTACATTTGATATATTTATATTTATGGCTAAATTTTGTATCATATATTTTTATTTTTAGTTTGTACTCATTTTAATTTGTAACCTTTTTTTTTTAAATTGTGCCAATTTTCTACTAGTTTTAGTTTGTACACATATATTAATTTCTTTTTGTGTCCATATTTTTCAAACTTTTATTTGTACTCATATTTTTTCGACCTTTTATTTGTACCCATAATTTATTAATAATATACCCATTTGTCTTTAAAATGGTACCACTTTGTTATATGTAAAATGTACCCATTGGTTTTTTTGTATGAAATGTACCCATTATATACAACATATCACCTCTTTTTGTATAAAATGTACCAATTTTTTGTATGTATTAATAACCTACATAAAAATGTATTATTGCATTAATTTCAGAAATTTCAATAAAAAATTGAAAATCAATAAGGTTTCAATCAAATAACGTAGATAAATAAAAACAGCATCCAAAGTTACCGAAAAATAAAAATTAACCAACGAGTAAAGTATGAACGTGAGGGTCACGTGATTTAAGGAAAAGTCCTAGAGGTGGGGTCGCACTATTCTACCTAGCGTTATTCATCCCTTCGAAGGGAGCAAGAACGAGGAAGACAGAGAGAGAGTGAGGAGAGAGAAACAGAGAGCGCCGCCGTGAGGTTTCGGTTCTCTCTATACAATGTTCCAACAGAGCTCTGGCTGCTGCGACTCGCTCTTCGCTTCGCAGGAGTTTGGGTTTAGGCCGTGTTTGGCTGCGCCGAAAAACGCATTCTCCTGCTCCATGGAAAAGCAGAAGCTTTTCACTGGTTCTTCTTCTTCTCTCTCGCTCAAGGAGCAACCCCAAACGAAGCGTAATCCAATCCTGGCCTGCCGAGCGTCACGTGACCCTCACGTGATTACTGGGTAAATGTTCCTTTCCCGAAATTCGTTTCAGTTTATGTAAAGCAACGATTTTTAACTAATTAGCGTTTGAGCGCTCGTGTATTGTATTTGAATAAGTGTGTAGAAAATTTGAATATTTTGTTGTGCAGGAAAGATGATGCAGCTGTTCATGGAGTTGCTGATGTAATTGTTGGTGTTCTTGGAGGAGGCCAACTGGGTCGGATGTTCTGCCAAGCAGCTTCGCGAATGGCGATTAAAGTGATGGTCTTGGACCCACAAGAGAACTGCCCAGCTAGTGAGCTTGCCCATTATCATATGGTTGGCAGCTTCGATGATAGCGCGACGGTCCAAGAGTTCGCAAAGAGGTGAAGATTCTATGTTCTTGTAATCCAATTTTGTGTTGTGTTGTGTTTTTTTGTGTAGTTGGAAATGGTATGTATGGAGTGTAAATGTATTCGTGTGGTAGTTAGATGTGGAGTGCTGACTGTGGAAATTGAGCATGTGGATGTGGAGACGTTAGAGAAGCTTGAGCAGCAAGGAGTGGACTGCCAACCCAAAGCCTCTACAATCAGAATAATTCAGGTTTGTCTATTCGTTTCGATGTTGCTTTTTATTTTTCATCACCGCGTTAATGCGTATGAAAGTTAGTTTGCTACAAACAGTAATCCATTTGGACAGATTGGTTTATGACTTTATGTACAGAGTTTCGTTTTTCTCGAAGGAACATTCACATTTTAGTCATAAAATTTAATCCTTGTATGGACATGTTGCACTAACCCGACATTCCACTTATCGCTGCATTGTTATTTTGTAGTGTTCTAAGCATTGGCTCATGTTTTGAATGTAACAGGATAAGTATCTCCAAAAGGTTCATTTTTCGAAGCATGATATTCCGCTTCCTGAATTCATGCAGGTTTGTTACCCCGTTATCTATCTGATTGAAGTATTAGCATAAGTGATTTTGTAAATTTGCTTTCTATTTGAGAGTGCAAGATTATATACCATTTACTGTAAAATGTGGCTAAGGCAGATAGATGATCTTGAAGGTGCCAAGAGAGCAGGGGACCTCTTTGGCTATCCTCTTATGATTAAAAGTAAAAGGTTAGCTTACGATGGACGTGGAAATGCTGTTGCCAAGAGTGAGGATGAGCTTTCTTCTGCTGTGGCTGGTAATATGTTCATTAAAATATCTTCTCAAAAAAAAAAATATGTTCATCAAAATGGATTGTGATTGGCCTTGATTCAACTAGTTGAGGCTATATGGTTTTTATAGTTCTAACTTTGTTCCAGCTCTTGGGGGGTTTGATCGTGGCTTATATGTTGAGAAATGGGCCCCATTTGTAAAGGTTGGTTTCTAAAAGTTACTATGAGACTATAAGCGTTGTTTGATGATTTACATTGCCACACATTAATCCCCAGCAAAACACAATGCTTCTGAGTGAGTTCATAAGAAAAAAATTCCCTTACTTTTTGGCAATATAACTGCAGGAGCTGGCTGTTATTGTCGCAAGAGGAAGAGACAATTCTATCGTGTGCTACCCTGTTGTTGAAACAATACACAAGTAAGCTGCAGATTAAGTTTTGAATTATGTGTCAGCAGCCAATCTTTGATCTTAATTTGCTCATATCTGTTTATTTAGACGATAATATTCACATAAAGCCGGATGAGTTCATGCATGGTTGGGGATCTATTTTGCAGGGAAAACATTTGTCACATTGTAAAGGCACCTGCTAACATGTCTTGGAAGATCAGAAAGCTGGCCACTGATATTGCATCCAGAGCTGTTCGTTCATTAGAAGGTGCTGGTGTCTTTGCAGTTGAGTTGTTCTTGACAAAGGATGACCAGGTAGCAATGGACCTCTTTTAACAACTTTCCATTATGGTTATTTCTTCATGATCAATTAAGTTATGCATGTATTTATTTGTTGTCAGATTTTGCTAAATGAAGTAGCTCCTAGACCTCACAATAGCGGTCATCACACAATAGAGTCTTGCTACACTTCTCAATATGAACAACATTTGAGGGCTGTTGTTGGTCTTCCACTTGGTGATCCATCAATGAAAACTCCAGCTGCGATTATGTACAATTTACTTGGCGAAGATGAGGTGAGGTTCTATTCAGTTCTGTGGAGTTTAGATCACCATCTGTCAGCGCATATTTTCTGATTTTAGTTCTAAACAATGTATAGTCATCACTGTGCTTGTGGAAGATAAATTAATTGATCAATTGCTGATGGCTGTCATGCGTCTCTTATGCTTTCAGGGGGAACCAGGTTTCCTTCTAGCTCAGCAATTGATTGGAAGAGCGTTGTGTATTCCAGGGGCCACTGTTCATTGGTATGATAAGCCAGGTAAGATTCTGCTTATGTTCATATTACAACGTCTTGCTTATTTCAGAGTCATACTCAAAAATCACCTATGTTTCTGTGTTGTGGCAGAAATGCGGAAGCAACGGAAGATGGGTCATATCACCATTGTTGGACCTTCCCTGGGAAATGTCGAAAAACTTCTAGAGTTGATGCTAAATGAAGAAAAATCAGATAGTAAGTCTGCAGGTAGTTGTAGACTTGTAGTAGAGTGGTTTGATATGATTATTCCATGGTTGCAGGTCCTGTGCGGTTATATGTATTAACCTTAGGTGGCTTCATTATTACATCTACTAGTAAATTTCATAAAATCACAAATCATTATCGTGGAAAATTTACTGTAAAATTGGAAGGGTACACAGGGAATGAAAATGGTTGAACTTTATAAAGAAGTCTGGGCAAAAAAGGCAAGGCAACCACACTATCTGCAACATTAATCTTGTATATTTTGTGGTGATTCCCTTCCTTTCCTTGTGCCTGTAGCTGCACCCCTTAGAAAACCAAACTGTATAGATTCCATTTTGATTTCATTGTACTTTAATAGTCTTGGTTATTTCTGAAGACTTTGTTATCTTCAAATTGCATTCATGTTGCTTTCTTTTTACTGGATGCAGTCACACCGCGTGTTGGTATCGTAATGGGCTCTGATTCAGATCTTCCTGTTATGAAAGATGCTGCAAAGATTTTGAATATGTTTGGAGTACCTAATGAGGTTTGCTTCTCACATGTTACTGTTTGATGTCAAATGATCACCCATTAGATGCGAGCTACACATTTTAGTACCATATGATGTTAATGCGATATAATTTACAGGTGAGAATAGTTTCAGCACATCGAACTCCTGAATTGATGTATTCTTATGCCTTGTCTGCTCGGGAGAGAGGCATTCAGGTCATCATTGCTGGTGCTGGTGGTGCTGCTCACTTGCCAGGCAAGTCACAAACCGTGCTGCAAACAAATTCGTCTAGTGCATTATACATTCTCTGGGGTTAATTGAACTAACGCGTGAGTTTTGCAGGCATGGTAGCTGCCATCACTCCTTTGCCCGTTATTGGTGTCCCTGTGCGTGCTTCTACATTGGATGGAATCGATTCTCTTCTATCCATTGTGCAGGTACATATTATTTCAGACTGTTCTGCTTTTTCCCTATAAATTTATGCTTTGTTTCATTTTTCTTTTCATTGCTG